ATGCAAAGCAAACACAATTGGAGCTCCTGGTACAGCTGTACCAGAACAGATATATAACCCAAATATATGACTCTGCTTTAAATCAAAATCAAAGGGTGCATCTACACTAGAATTAATGCAGTTTGCCCCCATTTGAACGGCCTCGGATCAAAGCTATGGAATCCTGTGACTTGCTGCCAAAGAGATCCAGTGCCTCCTCAAACTACAGCATTGAGCCGTGGCAGCTCAAGTGTGGGCAAATTGCATTAATTCTAAAGTGCAGACGTACCCAATGTCAGAGTCTTCAAGCGGACATACTCACGTATGAGGCAGTGCATGTCGTGGGAATAGCGGGAGTTGTCAGGGATGGTGAAGTTCCCGTCGCAAATGGCCACTTGGCTCTCCCCAAAGGGCAGGGTGAAGTAGCAGAGCTTGTACAGCAAGCAGCCCATGGCCTGCAAGGAAAGGAACGGAAATCATCATCATTATTATTAATCAGAGGCTGGGTGGCTATCTGCCGGGAGAGTTTGGATGGTGCTTTCCTTTATGTCAGAAAGGGGTTGGACTGGATGGCCTTTGGGGATCTCTTCTAACTCCAGGATTCTATTGTTCTATCATTATTATTGCACCATGTAACAAAATTTGAAAATGTTCCTGTTCTTGGTTTGAAAGTGTTATTTCCTGTTTCATTGTGCGGTCCTTCCTCCAAAAGTAGTTGTTCTACTCCAGAAACTTTGTTTTGGTGGCACGAACTAGGTTGAGACTCTGTGACGTATTTGTTGATAAATTAGAGCAAAAGTTGGTGTCCCCCCCGTAAAAACCAAGTTTTGGCAATTTAATAAACTTTTCCCATGTATTTTATGATAGAACCAATTAGAAAATGACATTTGTGACAGAGGAACAAAAAATTGTATTACATAGTGTTGTTATTATTGCTGCTGTTGTTGCTATTATTATGTATATTCCACTCTGTCTCTACAAAAAAAAACTAGGAAAGAAAAGGAGCAATTCATCAGTACGCTACAAACAACTTAGAAAACAGAGGCCCCATCTACACTGCCATATAAGCCAGTTTCTGATTTCAGATCATCTGCTTTCGATTATGGTAGTGTAGACTCATACTATCCTGGTGATGCAGCACGTTAAACCGCTGAGGTGCTGAACTGAAAGGTTGGTGGTTCGAATCCGGGGAGTGGGGTGAGCTCCTGCTGTTAGGCCCAGCTTCTGCCAACCTAGCAGTTCGAAAACATGCAAACATGAGTAGATCAAGAGGAACCTCTCCAGAGGGAAGGTAACAGCACACCATGCAGCCATGCCGGCCACATGACCTTGGAGGTGTCTACGGACAATGCCGGCTCTTTGGCTTAGAAATGGAGATGAGCACCAACACCAGCACCAACCCCCAGAGTCAGGCACAACGCAAACTCTATCTTCCGCGGAGGCCCTCCTTTTGCTCCCAATACCATCACAAGTACGGTTGGTGGGGATGAGAGAGAGGGCCTTCTCGGTGGTGGCCCCCTGCCTCTGGAACGCCCTTTCACGGGAAATAAGACAGGCCTCATCCCTCCCCTCCTTTCGTAAGAGCTTGAAGACCTGGTGGTTTCAACAAGCCTTTGAGAATGACCAGTTCTAGTCCAACCCAAACATTGTTGACTATGGCCTTGCAACTCCTTACTTATTACCCCGGTCATCCCTCTAATAGGCCCTGGAAATGAGCAGCCACAGACCCGCACCTGCTATTGCCATTAGCCTCTTATAGAACTGTATTCAATTCTCATTACCCTCATATTTTGAGTTTGCACTAGCCGTGGCCTGGCTTTTTAATTGCTCTGAACAGGCAGGATTATTTTTAATATACATGTGTTATTGTGATAATTTTATGCTTATGTTGTTTTGTTAATTTTATGCTATGCTGTTGACTTTGTATGTTTAGGCGATGTTACTTGGAAACTGGCCTGAGTCCCCCTCGGGGAGATAGAGTGGTATATAAATAAAGTATTATTATTATTATTATTATTATTATTATTATTATTATTATTATATTAATGCCAAGGGAAAAGCTTTATCTTTACCTACTCATTGAACATCGAGGAAACCAAAGTGCTGTTCCAGCAGTCACCAACCAATCCCTTTCCAATGCCAGGGATACAGCTTAATGGTGTAACATTAGAAATTGTCGACCATTTCCACTACCTTGGCAGCCACCTCTCCACAAAAGTAAACATCAACACTGAAATACAACTCCGCCTGAGCTCTGGGAGTGCAGCATTTTTCCGAATGAAGCAGAGAGTGTTTGAGGACTGGGACATCCGTAGGGATACCAAGGTGCTTATTTATAAAGCTATTGTCCTCCCAACCCTGCTATATGCCTGCAAAACGTGGACTGTCTACAGACGTCACATGCAACTCCTGGAACGATTCCATCAGCGCTGCCTCCGGAAAATCCTACAAATCTCTTGGGAAGACAAGCAGACAAATGTCAGCATACTGGAAGAAGCAAATGCCACCAGCATTGTAGTGATGGTCCTCCGCCATCAATTCCACTGGACTGGCCACGTTGTCCGGATGCCCGACCACTGTCTCTCAAAGCAGTTGCTCTACTCCGAACTCAAGAACGGAAAACGTAGTGTTGGTGGGCAGGAAAAGAGATTTAAAGATGGGCTCAAAGCCAACCTTAAAAACTCTGGCATAGACACTGAGAACTGGGAAGCCCTCCAGCTGGAGGTCAGCTGTGACCAGCAGTGCTGCAGAATTTGAAGAGGCACGAATGGAGAGCGAAAAAGAGAAACGTGCCAAGAGGAAGGCGCATCAAGCCAACTCCAACTGAGACCGCCTTCCACCTGGAAACCAATGCCCTCACTGCGGGTGAAGATGCAGATCAAGAATAGGGCTCCACAGTCACCTATGGACCCACCAGCACACTGATCTTGGAAGACTATCCTGCTCGGCCAATGAGAGATCGCCTAAGTAAGTAAGTAAAGTACCTAGACTCATACAATCCAGTTCAAAGCAAATAATCTGGATTATACGGCAGCGTAGATCCAACCTGACCTGCAAGAACTTTGTCACTGTCTGGTTTCTTTGCATGGGATTCATAGGTTTCCAGATCTTGTTCCTTTAAAAATTGCTAATCTAATTTAAAAATAGAAATCTAGAATGTAGTGGAGACCAGGCTTCAGATCCCCGACAAAGGGTGCACCTCCACTGCAGAACTGATGCACTTTGACACCCCTTTAAGGAAAAAGAAATATTTAAACAGTCCTAACCACCAAGTGATCCCTTGGTCTGGTCGGGTTCAAGGACCTGAAGCTAAAAAGAAAGCTTCCTCCGCCGGAACAAAGCCCTGATTGCAATGTAAATTTAGCGCTAATGAAATATTAAAGTCAGACATACCTATAGAACACATTAATAAAACATTCTGGTAACAATACCTCATTCTATTGCTAAATATACTTCCCGGCCTTGAAAGGGAAAGCTGCGGTCCTGAAATGCGTCAGGCTTCCTTGGAGTAAAAGGGGAGGAGAACCAATCTCGTCACATGCCTTTCTCCACATCTTTAGTGACTTTGACTCTTTCTCTGGGTGCATCCGCATTGTAGAATTATTGCGGTTTAGCACCACTTTAAACCCAAACCGCTCAATGTAATGGATTCCTGGAAGAGAAGGTTCAGGACCTTGTCAAAAACCTCCCAGGATGCCATTGCATTGAGCCGCCAGGAAACTGTTTTCGCACTTCAGCCTTTTKGCTAATTGGCTCTGTTACAGCACTGCAACATAATTAATTTTAAAGTAATTGCAATTGAACCTGGGGGGGGGGGGRGGGTTGTAAATCAAGGTTCATGTTTTTATGCAAAATATAATTTTAAACTTAATTTTAGTTTGTACGTTGTAATTTAGTTTTATATGTGGGTTTAATTTGGTATATGTGGGTTTACTTGGGTATTTGTGGGTTTATATTGGGTTTTTGGGTGGTTCAATATTGTCTTTGTTTTGCTGTTGTTGTTTGTTTGTTTTGCTGTTGTTGTTTGTTTGTTTGCCTTTTTGTTGTTGGAATCCGCCCTGAGTCCCCTTGTGCAGATAGGGTGGCATACAAATAAAGTTTTATTATTATTCATTATTTAAAGTGGCGTCAAACTGCATTCATTCCACCGTGTGGATCAGGCATGGGCAAGCTTTCTAACTTGGGGCCGCATGGTGGGCCAGAGCGGGGTGGGTGGGCCAGGAGGGAAGGTGTTCTCCCCAAATCCCCTCACTGATCTCTCCCCCCCCCCCTTCCTCTTCCCTTTTGGAGGCAGAAAGTGAAGGAAAGACGGGAAATGTTTGGATCCCAAAAGAGTTGGCCTTGGTCAGGATGAGATGGTGGATGGGAGAGAAGAAGTGTATCACTTCCGCCACAGTTTCATGTGGTGGGGACGAGGGAGAGGACCTTCTCGGTGGTGGCCCCTTGGCTCTGGAATTCTCCACCAAAGAAGATCAGATTGGCACCTACGCTATCCATTTTCTGCAAGAACTTAAAAACCTGGATGTTCCGTTGTGCATTTGATTAGGCAGTTTTCACCAGAGAATTGGTTCAGTCTTACCATAGCTACTGCACTTTAGTTGGCCCTTCCTCCTGTAATCCTGACCCTTTAAATGGCTAAGGACATTACCCTCCTAGATGGACCTTATTGAATATGAATTGAATCTTGCATTTTCCCTTAGCTCTATTTAGGAACCATCGCACTTACCCTGAACCCTCCGCGTTCTGCACTTAACCGTTCAGCTATGTTACTGTTTTTAAAAAGTTGTTGTGACTGTGAAATGTTTTTACTGATGTGTTGTTGTTGATTTTATTTTATTGTGTTTGTTGTAATCTGCATTTTTGGGCTTGTTCCTTTGTAAGCCACTCTGAGTCCCTTCAGTGAGATGGAGGCGGCGTATAAAAATAAAGTTATTATTATTAATAATAATATTATTATTTGAAACACAACAAGAGGAGTCCACAGCAGACAAGATCACTCTGCTGGCTGTTGTGTTGGATCACACATCGGACACCTTCCCAAGTGTCTAGGACTGTGTGATGTATCGGCGAATAACGTATGTATGTATGTATTATTACTAGCCATCCCCTGCCACGCTTTGCTGTGGGCCAGTCTGGTGATCGAGAAAATAAAATCATGAGAAAGTGTTGGTTTCTAATATATGTAATGTCTTCCTGCTTGTGGGTAAACAGTATGTCTTGCTGTTTCTTTGTCAGTGTTGATGTGGAGAGTGTCTGGTTTCCCTACGCTGGAGCATGCCACATATAATTGTCCTTCTTTAAGGGTCCCTTTCAAATCTATGATACTATATCTCTCTGTGTGTGAATCATATATATCTATTTATATCTATGGCTGGATGGCTCTTTGTCAGGAGGGCTTTGATTACGTTTCCTTGTCCTGGTGAAGGGAGTTGGACTGGATGGCCTTAAGTATTTTCTGTTGGTCATGGGGGTTCTGTGTAGGAAGTCTCCCCCAATTGTCATTTGTGGGGTTCAGAATGCTCTTTGATTGTAGGCGAACTATAAATCCCAAAAACTACTCCCAAATGTCAAGGTCTATTTCCCTCCAAACTCCATCTGTGGGCATATTGAGTATATTTGCCAAGTTTGGTCCAGATCCATCATTGTTTGAGTCCACAGTGCTCTCTGGATGTAGGTGAACTACAACTCCCAAACTCAAGGTCAATGCCCACCAAACCCTTCTAGTGTTTTCTGTTGGTATCTGTTAGTCATGGGAGTCCTGTGTGCCATGTTTGGTTCAATTCCATCATTGGTGGAGTTCAGAATGCTCTTTGATCTTAGGTGAACTATAAATCCCAGCAACTACAACTCCCAAATGATAAGATCAATTTTTTTTTTTGAGTGATGGTCGCTTGTTGGGTTAGTAGGTATCTTGTGGCCAAATTTGGTGGCAATTTGTCCAGTGGTTTTTTAGTTATGTTAATCCCACAAATGAACATTATATTTTTATTTATATAGATTATTATCCATGAGACCCCATACTGCCTGCTCTTGATATAGAATCCTAGAATCCTAGAGCTGGAAGAGACCCCAAAGGGCCACCAAGTCCAATCCCCTGCCATGCAGGGAGGCACAACCAAAGCACTCACAACAGACGGCCTCTGCAGAAAAGGCTCCAGAGAAGGAGACGCCACCACACTCCCAGGCAGCCTAGGCCGCTCTCCAACAGCTCTTACTCAGGAGGTGTTTCCTAATCTTTTCAGACAAATCTCTTTCTGTGCCATTTGAACCCATTGCTCCCTTCTTGTGCCCTGGTCCCTAAACCAGCAGAAAGTCAGTTTTCGCCCTCCCTCCTCCTCCTCAATGGGACACCCTCTGAAATCTTGAAACATGGTTCTCATGTTCCCTCTTCACCTTCTCTTCTCCCAGCTCAACATCCCCCAGGAGGAAAAGAGGAAGGAAAAAGAGAAGGGAGGGAGGGATGAAAGGGAGGAAGGGAGAAGGGAGGAAAGACAAAAGGGAAGGAAGGAAGGGAAGGAATTTTAATTTTTTTAATTAATTCCATCTGGCCCGGCCATAAGGTTTTAAATTCTGTGTGTTATTGTTTATTGTTTATTTGCTTGCTGTTTTGTTTTTTACTGATGTGTTGTTGGGCTTGGCCTCATGTAAGCCGCCCCGAGTCCCCTTGGGGATATGGTGGCGGGGTATAAATAAAGTTTTATTATTATCATTATATTATTAAGGAAGGAAAGAAGGAAGGAAGGAGAAAGAGAGAAGGGGAAGGAGGGAGAAAAGAGGAAAGCAAAGAAAGAAGGAAGGATGAAAGGGTGGAAGGGAAGGAGGAAGGAAGGAAGAAGGAGGGAGGTAAAGAAGGAAGGGAAGGAGAAAGGAAAGAGAGAAGGAAGGAAGGATAGGATGGTGAGAGAGAGGAGGGCCTGAGAAAAGAACCCAAGGACCGCATCCGCCCCCCGGGCCTGATATGCCCATTCCTAGTGCAGATGCACCCTTGCAACGCAATGGAAAGCAAGGCGCTACCTACCCAAATGTCAGCTTTTGTTGTGATCAGTTTGCCACTGTAGAGGTTGACCATCTCAGGTGCACGGTAGGACAGTGTGGTGTACCTGTCAGAAAACCAAAACACAGTCCATCATTTGGGGTAAAAGCTTTGGGATGTGTTAACTGGCACTTGAAATGCAGCATTGCCCAGACACAAATCAAAGAACACAAAAAGCTTGGCAGACTAATTCAACCAGAGAGGTTAACCATAGCAGAGCACTAGATGAACCAACCTGGACACAGAATATTATCTGAGAACACAGAAATGCTGGACCACTCAGAAAACCCTCATGTCAGGCTACACAGAGAAGCCACTGAAATCCACAAATAGCATGTGTACAATTTCAACACAAAGGAGGAAACCATGAAAATGAACACAATCTGGCTACCGGTATTAAAAAAAACACCAGAAGGCAGTAAATAAAGAACACCCCTTGGAAATAGGGGAACTCCAGACAGCAAACAATCAGACTGATTAACAGAGGGTGTCTCCAGGCAACAGAGGCCAAGCTACCTCTATACAGAGACCCTCAATTATTGACTTTGCATCTTCGTAGTTACTAAATGCTAATCAAACTTGCTAAATGCAACATCCACATTTGCTTTAGCAGACACAGGTTCTTTCTCCTGCCCTGGACATTATTCCACAGGGGTGTGTGTGTGTGTGTGTGTACACACACACACACACACACACACCACTTGCCTCATTGACAACATAATCTCTGAAGATGCCATTAGCCACAGATGCAGGCCAAACGTTAGGAGAGAACGCTGCTGGAACATGACCAAACAGCCCAGAAAACTCACAGCAACCAAGTAATTCTGGTCACGAAAGCCTTCAACTACACATTGAACACTTTCCCTCGTCTGCTCATTGGGCCATGAATGAGAATGGCTTGATCCTATTTCAAACAGGTCCAGCTTTTGTGTTTTTATGGAGCACGGCATTCCCCACCCCCCAGATTTACTTCTTTCTTTTAATAATTAACATATAATTATATTTGGTTATCCAGATAAATTATAATGCCTATATTTCTATACTTATCTGCTACTTATACCTATGCAATTTATCCCTCTTCCTCCCTCCCTACAGGAACAATGTCAGGGGAAAACCTTTATCTTTACTAAGTATTGTATAAACACCATAAATACACACATGAAAAATGTATTTCTACAAAAGATACATATTCATCTTTGTTTCCACCGATACCTTCTATTTTCTGGGCAAAGAACTGACAATAATAATAATAATAATAATAATAATAATAATACTTTATTTATACCCCGCCACCATCTCCCAAAGGGACTCGGAGTGGCTTACATGAGGCCAAGCCCAACAACACATCAATAAAACAGAAAGCAATAAACAAAAACAATACAATTATTATAAATCACATATAAACATTAACGGATTTAAAAACCTATGGTCGGGCCAAATGTAATAATTATTCAACTCTATTTTTCTCCTATTATTTCCTCCATCTCATTCTTAATTTTTTTATATAATTTTTGGTGTATTTTCACAGTCCCACCACATCTGATAAATTCCAATTCCACCACACTGATGCCAGCATAATTCTCATATATTTTTCATTATATGAACAAATTGTTGTGGGATTCAATACTGTTTTGTCAATAATAATTTATGCTGTGTTTCTTTCATCTTCAGATGTTACGTTATTTGCTTTTGTTGGTTCTGGACTCACTTCTTGATCTCCTCTTCCACTGCGTTCACTCCTTCCAGCTGCGGGTTCTGGAACTTGTTGGTGGCGCTTCCAAAGTCGCATAGGACGTAATGGCCGCGGTCATGGAGGAGGATGTTCTCCACCTGGAAATGGGAAACGGATCATTATATGTAGCATTCTAATGATGTATATAGGATTACTATGGTGCATTTTATATTATATTTGATAATCTGGTTTTCTTGTATTTGTTTGCCTTGTATTTGCATTTTACACTGAAGCGTATAGAGAGGAGGCACAGAAGATATATATATGAGATAGTAAAATTATATAATATTAATGGTAAAATATACTGAATGTGTATTACATATACTGTGGTAAAATAATACAGTACAATATAATAATATAAAATAATATAATAATTGTATATTACTGTATATACTCGAGTATAAGCCTAGTTTTTCAGCCCTATTTTTAGGCTGAAAAAGTCCCCCTCGACTTATACTCGAATAAATAAAAAGTACTGTATATACTCGAGTATAAGCCTAGTTTTTCAGCCCTATTTTTAGGCTGAAAAAGTCCCCCTCGACTTATACTCGAATAAAGGTTATTTATTATTTTACTGTGTTATTATTATTGTTGTTATTATTATTATTTTCATTTCATTTATTATTTTATTCTATTTATTATTATTACATTTATCATTTTACTCTATTATTATACATTTATTATTTTACTGTATAATTGTTGTTATTGCTACATTCATTATTTTACTCTTTTTATTATTGTTGTTATTACATTTATAATGTTACTCTCTTTATTATTATTGGAAGGATATGTTAGCACATTTACATTGAAGAAGGTAATAATTAGAGTTGGACAGTCTTAGCTTAAATTACCATTTTTGTAAATATTCAAAAATATATAACCTACTGATTCCTCAATTAATATAATTTAATTGGTATCTATTTTTATTTTGCAATTTACCAGTAGCTGCTGCATTTCCCACCCTCGGCTTATACTCGAGTCAACCTGTTTTCTCAGTTTTTTGTGGTAAAATTAGGTACCTCGGCTTATATTCGGGTCGGCTTATACTTGAGTATATACGGGTATATTACATTTAATATTACTAATAGTATTGGGGTACAGTACTATAGTACAATGTATCTATTCTATCCATCTATCTGTATATCTTCTATACACATAATAAAAGTAAAAATATGTATGTGTGTATGTGGCTGGGATGTCTACTTACACAGATAAGCTCCTGCCTCCACAAATAGGCTATAGCTCCCACTACTCATGAGACACCAAAGAGCCTCCCTCCAAGGATATTCTAGGTTGTAGTGAGCACCATAAACATGTCCAAGAGCCCTACCAGTGCCTTCTATAAACGCCAGATTGCCCACCACCCAAGTGATGGCTTTCATTCAGGAACAATTTCCTCCTAGATTTTAAGTGTTTCTGCTGGGAGAGATCAGAGTTCAATGCCCTCAGTATGCAGATGACACCCAACACTACTACTCCTTTCCACTAAAAGCCAACGTAGCAGTCCAGACCCAGCTGTTGTGGACTGGATGAGGATGAGCAAATTGAAACTGAATCCAAACAAGACAGAGGTCCTCCTGGTCAGTCGTAAGGCAGCCTGTGCTGGATGGAAGGGGTCCCACTCCCCCTGAAGACCCAGTCCACAACCTGGGGCTCCTCCTGGACTCATCGCTAAGTCTGGAGCTGTTGGCAGTGGCCAGGAGGGCCTTTGCACCATTAACACTTGTGCACCAGCTGTGACCATAGCTTGAGAAGCCAGACTTGACCATGGTGATCCATGCCTTGGTTACATCCCATTTAGACTACAGTAATGGGTTCTATGTGGGGCTGCCCTTGAAAAGTGTCCAGAAACTCCAACGAATTCATAGATCTGCAGCCAGGTGATTGACAGGTGCTGGACCCAGGGAGCATACCACCGCTGTTACACAGGCTGCCAATGTTGCCGAGCCTGATCCAAGGTGCTGCTTTTGACCTTTAAAGCCCTAAACCAGGCATCCTCAAACTGTGGTCCTCCAGCTGTTTGGGCCTCTAACTCCCAAAATTCTAGACCATTGAACAAGCTGGTGAGGGCTTCTGGGAGTTGGAGGCCAAAGCAGCTGGAGGGCCGCAGTTTGAGAATGCCTGCCCTAAACAGTTCAGGCCCAATTTACTTATCTGACCCCATTGCCTCTTACCAACCGGACCAATCATTAAGATTTTCCAAAGAGTCGATTCTCTTGTTGTCGCCAACATTGCTGTCACAAATATGGTTGGTGGCAACGAGAGAGAGGACCTTCCTTCTTGGTAGCCGCCCCAGCCCTTTGGAACTCCCTCCATCCCCATTGAGATCAAAACTTCCCCTCCTTTCCCTGTTCTCTTTCAAGAACCAGTTGAAGACCTACCTGTTCAAGCAAATGACAACAAGGTCGATTTGCACTGAGCTTAGCAAAATATACTATTTAATGGATGAGTCTCCACAATAATTGTAATTGGTTTTAAATGTATTTAATGCTTAATATTTATTTATATCTGATTTCTGGACATTATTATGCTTTGTGTGATTTTTGTCTTGTATTTTATGTTAATTGTGGTTTGGTTTGTATTGCATCATGTCAGCCACTTTGGGCCGCATTAGGGAGAAAAGCAGGATATAAAACATATTATTTATTGTTATTATAGTATAACTAAATATTATATTTATTTCTATTATAAATAAATATTATATATATAAAGGGCCCACCTTCAGATCCCTGTGGACGATGGGCGCCTTGCACTGGTGCAGCCTGGCCACAGCTTCGCAGGTGTCGCAGAAGATCTGCAGGACTTCATTCTCCGTGAAGCCTGTCTGCAGCCGCTGGTTCATCAGGTTGACCACTTGGCCGCCTGAAAGACATCAAGAAGAATTCCGGTTCATCACAAATGCAAAGCAATGGGGTTTCCAAGACACAAGGCTTGAAAGCGAGCCCTTCTCAGAGGGGACAACGTTGCCTTAAATCAGGCATGGGCCTCCTCACAATTACTAACAGCCGGCAATAATAATAGCATAATATACTAGCAGTGTGTTATATATAATGTGGTTTAATAACACAGTACAATAATATATAATAATATAATTGTTATGTATTATATATAATATGAGCAATAATATTGCAGTATAGTAATATAGTACAATATAATAAATAATACTAATATTGTGCTATGCTTATATATATATATATATATATATATATATATATATATATATATATATAAAATAATACAATATAATACTAATAATACTTCCATATAATAGTATTGTAATATAATAATACTAATATATTAAATAATATAATAATGTTATTATAAAATATAATATAAACAATAATCGTCATCATCTTTAAATTAATATAATAATTATAATATAATATAAAACTATAAATAGTACAATAATAAATGTCTAAAATTATATATTATTATAAAAATATTATAATATATAACAATATAATAATATACCAGCTGTTAGGAATTGTGGGAATTGAAGTCCAAAACACCTGGAGGAAGGGCCAAAGTTGGCCCATGCCTGACTTAAATGAACTAAGCTGTTGAGAAATTTACTTCTTTCCCTGCTTAGAATTCTGCATTATTTTCATGGCTTTAAACATTATTGGCCTATTTTTCTACAGTTTCGGTTATTCAGTTGATGCAAAGGAACAAAACCCAGAGAAATCCGCATAAATTTTCAAAATATTAAGAAGAGGGTGGTTTTATTAGAGAGAAAGTGCCTCCGTTTATTTTCTTCTGGATGACTATAAAGGTCCTTGGTTATCTCGCATCATGAGGCCAGAGAAACATCTGCATCCACTGGGGTTTGGTTCCTGCACACCAAAATCTATCAATGCCCAGGTCCCATTACAGACATCGATGCTGAGATCCTATTTATATAAAGGGGCAAAATCAAGGTTTATCGTTTAGATTTTTAAAATAACTAGCATATAAATCCATTGTTGCTTGGATATGCATTTTATTTTTGTGCCTTCCTTCCCTTATATACCAACCCTCTCCTCCCTCCCTCCCGTCCCTTTTCTTTCTCCTCCTCCTTCTCTCCCTTTCTTCCTCACCTCTCATACCCGTTTCCTTTCCTTTTCTTTCCTTCTTTCCTTCCTTTTGCTTTCTTTCTTTCCCCCTCCTTCCCTTCTTCCTTCCTTTCTTCCTTTCATTATCTACTATAATAAATGTATCAATTACACGTATACTTACCTTAAATTTTACTTCTTTAACTCTAATAAATCTCACCATTCTTTATTGTACATTCATTCCTCCTTGTGCCTCCAGCTGTGCTTCACTTCCTCCCATCCCTTCTTCCCCAACTTCTTTTTGTCCAGCCTCCGGCTGCCGAAGATACACGCAAACCAAGGATGCAAAACTCCTCCTCTCTCTCTTCCGTCCCTTTCCCTTTCCGCACAGGCCCAGGAGACGTCCCTCTCGCCTTTGTCGATCCGTCCTCCCAAGTTAGTTGTCTGTTTACAACTTATGTTTTGTCCTTTTTCCCTACTGTCCCTCAATGTGCACAAGGGTTATATGCAAATGATTAGTGGTTTAAGAAATCAAAGTTCACTGGCTTGAATCTTCCTCTCTCAGCACAAGTATCCTACTGGTCTCCTTCCTCCCTTCTCTACCCTTTCTTTCTTTCTTTCCTTTCTTCCTTTTTCTTTCTTTCCCCTTTCCCTCTTCCTTCCTTCCATTCTCTTCCTTCTTTTTCTTTCCTCCCCTCACACCTTTTCCCCTTTCCTTTCTTTCTTTCCTTCCTCCCTTCCCTTCATACACATGTCACTTTGCATCAGCTCACCAACAAGTATATTTTGACTTTTATACACATAGAGATTTTCAAGATGTGGGTGGTCGAATCTATGGATGTAGAATTGGTGGTATTGCAAATGAGTAAATATATCTGTTTGTTTGTGTCTGGCTGCATACAAATGCTACGCACCTCGGCAGAAATCCATCAGGATCAAGACTTCCCAGACGTCCCCGCTGCTGACGGAATTGATGCTGGAATCGATGTACCCGACAATGTTCTTGTGTCCCACAAGATCCCGCTGGGAAAAGGTCAGAAACAAAGGAACAAGCTTGAACGCAAACCATCATCATAATACTACGAGAGAGAAAGAATCAATATCTGAGAAAGCCTCTGTTGGAAGTTGGAAGCATATATTGCAGGCATGGGCCAACTCTGGCCCTCCCTCCAGGTGTTTTGGACTTCAACTCCCATAATTCCTGACAGCCTACTGGCTGTTAGGAATTATGGGAGCTGCAGTCCAAAACACCTGGAAGGAGGGCCAAAGTTGGCCCATGCCTGATCTATTGGCTTTAAAATATCTGTTGGATTTGCGACAGTTTCCGATGTGCAAGGGTTTCTGTTGAGCAGGAAGGCATATCATTGCAACCAGCATTGGCTTACCATGATTTGAATCTCCCGTTTGCAGACTTGTAGGTCGTGTTCGTTGTTGACATACATGCGTTTGAGGGCACATTTCACGCCGTTGCCAGTCCTCACCAGGAAAACAATAGCAAACCCGCCTGCAGAGAGACACAGAGATAGGAAAGAACTGAGCCTGCGAGACAGGAGGCATCTGAAGTTACACGAGGCGAGAGGGAGATCATATGGAGCGTCTATTATACTCTGAATAGACTGAGTTGCCATAAAGACTCCAAAATTGCCTTGAGACAGTGGTGCTTTTGCTTCCTGATGGTTCAAGACATACAAATATCATTCCTGACACAGCAATATGAGAAATATTGTATATAAAACTACCTTCAAGCAATGTGTAGTGTTTTGGGTGTTGGACAGAACAAATACGTGTGTGTAGGTAGGTAGGTAAAGGTTTTCCCCTGACATTAAGTCCAGTCGTATCAGACTCTGGGGTTTGGTGCTCAACTCCATTTCTAAGCTGAAGAGCCGCCATTGTCCACAGACAGCTCCAAGGTCATGAGGTTGGCATGACTGCATGGAGCACCGTTACCTTCCCACTTGAGAAGTACCTATTGATCTACTCACATTTGCATGTTTTCGAACTGCTAGGTTGGCAGAAGCTGGGGCTAATAGTGGGAGCTCACGCCATTCCCTGGATTCGCACCTGCAACCTTTCAATCAATAAGTTCAGCAGCTCAGTGGTTTAACCCACTGCACCACTGGGGGCTCCGTGAATATACAGAGTAACCGCAGCATGGGAATCGTCCTCTCATGATATGGCACTCCGGTTAATAACCTGGTCGCCGATCCTTGAACAAGTTGCTGATTCCAAACCATCTTCAAAAGCAATCCCACATAGAGAGCGTTGCAGAAGGCCAGACGGGAAGTAACCAAGGCATGGACTACCATGACCAGGTCTGGCAGCTCAAGGTACAGGCACAGCGGGCGCACAAGTTTAAGTTGTGTGAAGGTGTTCCTGGCCACCACCTGGGGTTCCAGGGTCAGCGATGAGTCTGTGAGAACCCCCAGACTGCATGTGCCTTCAGAGGGAGTGTGACCCCATCCAGCACAGATGTAACCCCACACCCTAATCCACCTTCCCACTGATCAGGAGTATCTCTGTTTTGTTTGGAATTACCTTCAATTTATTAGCCCTCATCCAGTCCATCACTGATGACAAGCACCAGTTTAGGGGCAGGACGATATCCTTGGCTTTAGGTGGAAAGGAGTAATGAAGTTGGGTGTCATCAGTGTAAATTTGATACCAAACTGGAGGTCAGCTGAGACCAGCAGTGCTGCGGAATTTGAAACGGTACTAATAACGGGAGAAAGAGAAAACATGCCAAGAGGAAGGAGACACCTGACGGGGACTGCCTTCCACCTGGTAACCGATGTTCTCACTGCGGAAGAACATGTGGGTCAAGAACAGATCTCCACAGTCACCTACGGACCCACCACCTGGAAGGCCATCATACTCAGACAATGAGGTATTGCCTAAGTAAATAACATAAGTAAGCAGAGATTACTTATTTATTAAAATGATCATTATTATTATTATTTCCGCTGTTCGTTTTAATCCAAGCCAGTTCTGGATAATGCAAATTAGCAGTGCAGGAAAACACCATGTGGCACTTGCATAATGGCCTGTTACTCCCAATATGTTCCCCACTTTGTTCTGATTGGAAATCGGCCCTTTTAGACTCGTTTCCCCGCTTTTTGAATCTCCAAAAGAAATATTGGGAGCAGACCAAAGCTGCAGTGAATGCCGATTTTAAAAAAATAAAATAAAATAAAGTTGCTGTACATTGGGGAAAGTGTTCCTAAATGGAATCTACTCTTAACTTGTAAATAAAACAGCAACGATTTATCTTTCGCTTGGTTTGCAGCCGCAAAGGCCCAGGCAGCATGAGTTAAAAAGCTACTTAAATGGCGTTAAAAATGGATGAGTGCTCTAAAAAAGAAGGCTCAAAAGGTGCCTTCTCTCACTGTGGGACAAAGTCTTTTTAAAAAATAACTATTAATAGAACTGCTTTATCAAAATTGCAGGCGGTAAGCAAGGCCGGTTTCCTGACACCGAAGGAAAAGACCTCTTCTTTGAGAAGGCCTTGCTTCAGAAACATGACTTTACCTTTTTGTGCCCATTTAAAGGACAGATTACACCTATTCAGCCACTATTCTAGAATGACTTAATTTCAACGTTCTGCTGGAAAGGTGCTCTATAGCAGGCATGTTCACATGAATACAACGTTGCTCTCACAAAGGACCGTGCCAGCAGGAACCACTTTAAAAGGCCTCCAGCCCTCCCATAACATCATTTCTCACACACCTGCTTTTTCTCTCCTTATCTTTAAGCTTCTGGAAAAAGCGAGTCAGTCTTTGTTGCATGCCCTGTCTCTGCAATTCCAAGCATCTTGATCTAAACCAGGCATGGGCAAACTTGGGCCTTCCAGGTGTTTTGGACTTCAACTCCCACAATTCCTAACAGTCTACCGAGAATTGTTCACCTGAATACAACACTGCTCTCAGAAAGGATTGTGCCAGCAGGAACCACTTTAAAAGGCCTCCACCCCTCCCATAACATCATTTCTCATGCACCTGCTTTTTCTCTCCTTATCTTTAAGCCTCTGGGAAAGCGAGTCAGTCTTTGTTGCATGCCCTGTCTCTGCTATTCCAAGCGCCTTGATCTAGACCAGGCACAGGCAAACTTGGGCCCTCAAGTGTTTTGGACTTCAACTCCTACAATTCCTAATAGTCGGTAGGCTGTTAGGAATTGTGGAAGTTGAAGTCCAAAATACCTGGAAGGCCCAAGTATAGGAAGAAGAAATGGACAGAACAGTCCAACTTTGGAGGTACTGCTGGGTTTAAATAGTTCCCTGAATATATATTGAAGCCATTACTATTGTTGCTGTGTGTCTCCACACCGGGTTGTTGTAGGTTTTTTCGGGCTATATGGCCATGGTCTATAGGCATTCTCTCCAATTTGCCTGCATCTATGGCAAGCATCCTCACTACCTCTGAGAATGCTTGCCATAGATGCAGGCGAAATGTCAGGAGAGAATGCCTCTAGAACATGGCCATATAGCCAAAAAAACTACAACAACCCAGTGATTCCGGCCATGAAAGCCTTCGACAATACATTGTCTCCACACCATTTCTGACTTATTTTCTTGGAGGAATGTGTCTTAATCTTCTGCTGAGGCTGAGTGTTAATGCCTATATATATTAGTTGCTTAATTATTCCATAGTATACATTGAGCTACACTCCTTCCTATTTATTATGACTTGGTTTATTACTGGTGTTGCAAGTTGATTTGTTGTGTGTTTTATTATCATTCATACTGTCATCTTGTTGTAAGCTGCGCTGAGCCCCTTTGGGAGATGAGGCGGAATATAAATCAAGCTTCATTCATTCATTCAGTGTGACCTGCCCAAGAGCATCCATGGCTGGCCTCTCGGCCATGAAAGGTGCATCTACATGGCAGAATTTGACACCACTTTGTGGCTACAGATTCAGGCTAGTTTTAGTTTGGCAAAGCAGCCGTACTCTTTGACAGAGAAGGCTACAGCTCTTCCAACATCATAATTCGCATTGTTCCATAGTATTGAGCCAAAGTGGTGTCTAACTGCATTAATTGTAACATGTAGACGCACCTGGCGTCTGACACTGAAACCATAACACTGTGCTGGCTCTCTATGGAAAATACGGAGCCATATAAAAGTTGTCATGGTTTCCAACATGCAGGTTGGGGATGCAGGGATTTGCAGTCCAAGATTACTGAAAGGCTGCTTAAAGAAAGAGACTGGATTGGCCTCAATTTGCAAGTTCTGTCTACCTGGATTCCTTCACCTGCTGAATGCAGTGGGAAAACAAGCCTGAAAAACCCGGCTCTTCTTCTTCACTGTTCAAAGGGACAATTATGACTTTCAGCACCCCCAAAATTTTCAAAACCGTCTTGCTTTTGCTTCCTTTGCAAGAACTATATTGACTGGGGGAGCCTATGCAAGGAAGGCTCATAGGGAGAGCAGGGAGTGAAAGCAATGAATATTTTAAAGGGCTGGTAATTATACACACGAAACCCACTCCGGCCCCATTACTCCAAACCAGCCATTGTCAGCCCTTCCGTCAGCGGCTCTTTTCAACCCCGTCGATCTGAGTCAGCGTTTGCACACATTCACCTTTGGCTGGATTACTAATGGAAACAACTTCCAAGCAGAATTATTAAACCAAAGACGATCACAGGGCAGTTTTATTACCTAGCGGAGGCTGGGATAATGTAACCTGTATATTCCAAACTAAACCTCCATTGACTCTACAGCAGGCATGGGCAAACTTTGGCTCTCCAGGTATTTTGGACTCCGACTCCCACAATTCCTAACAGCCTACCGGCTGTTAGGAATTGTGGGAGTTGAAGTCCAAAACACCTGGAGGGCCGAAGTTTGCCCATGCCTGCTCTACAGCATTGATTAAGAAAGAATGTCTCAGGGTGCATCTACAGTGTAGGACAGTTTTCCAAAGTTACCAAACTTTTCATGTTGAGACATGCCTCCTTTTGTGACACTATTACTAAGTTTTACTAGCAAGCTGAAGGTTGAACCAACCCCTTATATGAGTTTCATACTACACACACACACACACATAGATACAGGAGAGTCTTGCTTATCCAACATAAAATGGGCCGGCAGAACATCGGATAAACGCAAATGTCAGATAATTTCACGTGACACACCTAAGAACTACACACGACACACTAGTATGTCCCAACAAACAGTTCGGAAAGCTCTGCTGTAGAATGTTGTTGTTATTGTATCGCTCCAAAAGGTGACTCAAAGCAGATCACAGTAAAATCCATAGGTAATGGTAAAGGTTTTCCCTTGACATTAAATCTAGACGAGTCCAACTCTGGTGGGTGGTGCTCACCTCCATTTCTAAGCTGAAGAGCTGGTGTTGTCTGTAGACACCTCCAAGGTCATGTGGCCAGCATGACTGTATGGCGAGCCGTTGCCTTCCCACCAGAGCAGCACCTATTGATCTACTCACATCTGCATGTTTTTGAACTGTTAGTTTGGCAGGAGTTGGGGCTAACAGTGGGAGTTTACCCCGCTCCCC